TCGACTTTGCTTTTATGATTTGGCAACTCAAAACCGTCTGCAAGTTCTTAAAGATTCTTAACTTTGCGAACTTTTCGACTATATAAAAAAGTCATCAAAGTGTTCGACTTGGTGTTTCCAAATTTGTTCAACTGTTGATTTTTTGTTTTTTCTTACTGACGCAATAGGTACGACAAGTAATTTATGAACCAAAAGAGTTCAAAAGATAGTATAAATATGTATAAATAGATATGGACTGGCTGGATATGAATAAATTGAACAGGTTCGGCAATAAACATAGACAGAGACTGATATACTTGCGTATCCAGTTTGATGTCGATATCAATGCATCTGCGCGAGTCGATGAACAGCTATTTTTGTAGGTCTTTTGCTAGGCTGCTAGGCATTTTCGCGACCCACAAACCTGGACCTCGCTTGCCTTATGGTTGAGGATAGGACCAAATCTGTGGCTGTTGGGCACCGAATTCACCTTGCAGCGGCTTCTCAGACTTCAACTTTTTGAGTTAGCCACACCGTCGCCGATCCTTGGGATAGGTGCAGTGTGCTACACAGTAAAAGAGGAAACAGATACTGAAGCCCATCGCGGCAACGCTGAAGATGCCTAGCGTTGCCGTGGGTAGAAAAAGCTGGCCGCGTACGGTAAAAGCTTGAGCCAAAATAGCGACGTCATCCCTTTAGATTGGTCGTTTAAAAGGGGTTCCTAGCTCATGGATGATGATAAACCCTTACATAACGGATAACATAAGCCCCAAAATCAACACAGACCAATCCATAGATCAGACGCAAGATCCGATGCCTGGATCCAAACCCATAGATGCTTCCACAAGTTAAGATCTATATAACTCCTAGAACTTGAGACAACCACATTTTTTGGCAGGAAACCATGGGAAACCATGGGAGACCAAAAATCCCAAACCGGTTGTGCCCACCACAGAAACGCTAGGCATCTTAAGCGTTGCTGCGATGGGCTTCAGTATCTGTTTCCTCTTTACTGCGTAGCACACTGCACCTATCCCAAGGATCGGCGTAGAGTGTGACTAACTCAAAAAGTTGAAGGCTGAGAAGCCGCTGCAAGGTGAATTCGGTGCCCAACAGCCACAGATTTGGTGAACCAATCCGGCAGGCCTTCTGACTTATCCAGTTATGATCAGGTGATAGCATTTGATGATACCATAATTGTTCCATTTTGACACGTGTATACACTTTGACAAGTGATAAATGGTATGAAGAGATTTCGTGATTGTACGTATTTGTACATGTAGGAATACTTGACAGATGCTGTGAATACTGGCCAGATTTCTTTTTATTTATTTATTTATAAATAAATAATTATTTATATATATATATATATTGTCTTGCCGAAGATGATTTTTTTCGAATGCATGAGAATTCCAGTACTTGGGGAATGTATATGGAATATCCTTTGTCTGTTCTTTACGCGACCCCATATATATATAAATATATATATAATATATATATATAATAAATATATTTGAGTATATGGGAATAGATGAGAAAGATATGTACCTACATAAATGTGCTGCTCCGCACAAAGAAAAGTGTAGCATAACCCGCAGGTCTCGCCAAACCTATTTCAGATTTGGGTTACAAAAGGGCAACGAGATGTCTCCAAGAGAACCATCCCTACTACTGAGCCTGACTGCTGCCACCTAGCAGGACGCCATGAGCCCTGTAAAAAAACATGAAATGGAGGCGCGTCCGCGATCACCCCTCGCCGTAGACAGCACGAAAACAAACAACCATTAAGAAACCTTAATTTCTTTCTGGAGTTAGCCCTTTTTGGATTCTCATTGAGAAGCAATGAGATTGTTCCAATAGGACAAGCAAGCCTTCTCCAACTTGATGAGGACATCCCCAATTTTTTCGACGGGCGGACAACTTTGAATCATATCCTTGAAGAACCAACGCTAGCAACAAAGTATCTTATGACATCAGCACAACATAGTTTTCGCATGAAAAAACGGATTTCGCATGGAAATTCAAAGATACGAGTGCGATCATAAAGTTATTACATCCACGAAACCAAGCCCAATGCCCAACACAAGTGTTTGAGAACCATAATTATATCTGTGAAAACCAACCATTTGTGGGTTTTCAGTATCCAGCTTTTAAAAACCCACAAAAAAAAGATGAACAAAAAATCCAGTACATGGACATGGACCACGCAAAATCTAATCCCAACATATTGATTGCAGGTTTTCTGCCTCCCACTGTCAAAAACCGGTTTGATGTTCCAAATGAACGCTTTCTACCACGGTTGGGGTTTGAATCGCCAAGTCAGAAAAGCAAAGTCAAAAAGTCAAACACTTTTCTTCTGGCGAAAAGTTGCGCTTAAACCACCCAAACAATACACCAAACTGGATACGCAAGGGTTCCTGTCTAATCATCTATCCTCCACCATAAGGCAGGCGAGGTCCAGGTTTGTGGGTCGCGAAAATGCCTAGCCAGAAACCAACAAAAATAGTTATTCAGCGATTCGCGCAAATGCATTGATAGACACCAAACTGGATACGCAAGGGTTCCTGTCTTATCACCTATCTTCAACCGTAAGGCAAGCGAGGTCCAGGTTTGTGGGTCGCGAAAATGCCTAGCAAAAGAACTACAAAAATAGCTGTTCATCGACTCGCGCAGATGCATTGATATCGACATCAAACTGGATACGCAAGTATACCTGTCTCTGTCTATGTTTATTGCCGAACCTGTTCAATTTATTCATATCCAGCCAGTCCATATCTATTTATACATATTTATACTATCTTTTGAACTCTTTTGGTTCAAAAATTACTTGTCGTACCTATTGCATCAGTGAGAAAAAACAAAAAATCAACAGTTGAACAAAGATGGAAACACCAAGTCGAACACTTTGATGACTTTTCTAGTCGAAAAGTTCGCAAAGTTAAGAACTCGCTGACGGTTTTGAATTGCCAAGTCATAAAAGCAAAGTCGAAGTGGTCAAAGCTTTCCTTTTTCTGGGCGAAAAGTTGAAAATGAGTGGAAAAAATGATGCATGATTGACTTGTTATATAATTTATATGGGGTTAAAGAAGTTTGTACTAGAACCTGAATACCCAATGTAATTAGCAACAAAAGCAGACATACGGTAAATCACGTCCGGAACAAGAATTCTTGACCCTTTCCCTAAAACACTTCTTTTTGGGATTGGGAAAGGAATAAGAGTATACAGGGTGCCCCGGGTAATTATTTCCTGTAGAAAATACTTACACTACCCGTGAAAACCAACCATTTGTGGGTTTTCGGTATCCAGCTTTCAAAAACCCACAAAATCAACACAAAAATCAAGAAACCCAGCACATGGACGACACAAAATCTAATCCTTATACATTGATTGCACGTTTCCTGCTCCCCTGGAAAGTGAACAAAAACTCGACCAGGAAAGAGCAACAAAACAACAATGAAAAGCCATGTGCGTGGATACTGCCTGTGCTCCCATGCCTCCAAAACCCACGCTTTTTATCACTCTTCCAGGGAAAATTTTCGCAAAAAGTCAAAAAATCAAAAAGTCAAAAACTTTTCGACTTTTCGAATGTTTCATTTTTTTGTTTTTTTTCGACTTTTCGAGCAGAAATCTCCTGGAATGGGAACTTTTCGACTTTTCGACGTTTCGACTTTTCGCGCTCGAAAATCGTGATTTTCACGGTGTGACCGCTACCAGCCAGAAGAGCACACAGAATATATAGACATGAATGGTACCAGCTACTGTAGTGCCCGGCCGTGCTGGGGCGCAAGTTTCGAAAGATTAAACTTGGCTACAATATCAGAAATCGATGGCCTATAGGAAGGTTTTTGAGATGCAGAAGCCATGAGCGGTTGAGTTGTGAGGTCCATCAGCGAATGAGCACATGGTGAAATGACATGAAAGAATCCGTGCACAACTGAGTGAACGAACCACTGAACCAATGAATGGATGAACCAATGAACCAATGAATCAGTGAATCAGTGAAGGAAACAATGACTCAATGAATTTGTGAACCAATGAATCAATGAATCAATGAACCAGTGATCACTGAATCCATGAATCCATGAACCAATGAACCGATGAATGAACGAATGATGGATGGATGAATGAGTGGATGGATGGATGGATGAATGGGCGAGCTACTTCTTTGTTGAGCCACTTCTTCACTGAGCGACCTCTTCGCTGAGGCAGCTCTTCTCTCAGCTACTTCTTCTTTGAGCAGCATCTTATCCGTGTTACTTTTGCTCTGACCTGCATCAGCTACCTCTCTGTAGCTTCTGCAACCTAATCTTCTCTTCGCGCACCCAGCACACTGCGTTTTGCAACTTCCAGCTGCAATTCCGCATAGCGCAAATGTGGCACCATGCTGAAAAACTACCTTTCCCGCAGCTGTTACACTGCGTCTAGCAACTTCCCGCTGCAATCCTGCTTGGCAGAAGAGTTGCAGCATCGCTGATGCTTTGTGGCGCGCAGCCGTGCCAATGCGTTTAGTCACAGCCGGTTGCAAATCGGCATAGCAGGAGCGACGCACCAAATCGACCGACGCTTGCGCAGCGCTAACAATGGGGACGTGCCACTCCAAGCATGGGGGTCTTTATGATCTTTTTAACAAGATGGAGCTCTCATTACAGTCTTGTGCGCGTTTGGCCAACTTCATCTTCCAAAAAATGCTCCGAACGCATCAGTTTTTTAACGTGCAAATCGAGCCCTACAGTCCTGTGCACTTTTTGTCGGCAACTTTCCCTCAATCGAGCCGCGGACCCGCGGAAAGACACATTACTTGAAAAAACGTAGGGCCCGAGCGTGTTTTCACCCATGAATTCACACGCTTCCGAACTCTTACGCTTCCCAGCTATTTGGTGACGGGGTTGACATGATGATGTGGTTGACATGAAGGTGTGAATGCTAACTATGATCATCGTCCATAGCTTGGAAGTTTTCTAACTAAATTTACTTTGATGAACATCGATCTCTGTTTTTTCGGGTTATACCAATGTATACCATGACTCGGGTTAGCAGGGCGAGTCCACCGAGTTCGCCGCAGGACACGACCAAACTGGTGGCACAAAGTGCGGAAGAACTTACCTCCTACTGTGAGCAGACTGGATTGGGCACAGCGTGGCTTGGAAATTTGGGTTAAGCCTTTGCCAAACCTTCCAAATCAAAAAGGATCCACAAACAGGTAATAAACATATGTACACATATGTAATTAAACATGCAAAAAAAAACATCTGATCATTTTGATGGTTTGTTTGGGCTGAACATTTTTCAAGAAACCATGGATGGCCCATAAACAGGTGAAGGAACTGGTGATTGTCCAGCTACTACTTAGTAAAACAAAAATCAGGGCCGTCATCTAGTTTGGGACTTCCTGCCATGTCGGGGAGGAATCTCCCAGGGGGGGACCGTGACGATTTCATTCAAAAAGTCGTAGACTTTCAACTTCTATGTATAGACATCTATATTATTATATGCACACACAGATACATATATCGTGCATACATACATACATGTATACATACATATATATATATATACATACATACATATATATATATGTTGATCGATCTTAAGGTCCTTGTAAGGAGTTTTAATTTCGAAAGCCGTGCGTGTTCTGTTGGAAACTCTCGCGAAAGTTTTTTTTCGAGTTCGCGAAAGTAACATTTTTTTTCACGAAAGTTTCGCGAAAGTTGGATAGTATAATCGCTATGTAAAGGGCTGCCACCCACTGCCGCCCGGGGTCCGGCAGGAGAAGTTCACTAGAGAATTTCGGTTTGGTTCTGGTTCAGTTCCCTGTGTGGTGGTGCTTGTGGACAATCACACCCTTCATAGGTAGCAGCCGAGCTTCCAAAGGCGACGCTTCGCGACAGCCAAACGCCATGGTCCTGAAGCAAATCCTTGCACAAGCCGCTGTCACTGCCGAATGATGCTTTTTGAAGTCTCAAGAAACAAGCTCCAAATGCAGTAGCCAAGTTTCCAAAAGTGAGGCTTTGCGAGAGCCAAACACCAAGTCGCTTTTCCTTCAATGCACCCCCTGCTGATGGCCGGGGTCTCTGAATAGGGATATTTTCGCGAAAGTTCCGCGAAAGTTATGCGAAAGAGCGGGCGAAAGTCAAAGTGCATGTTGAAGGGGGTGGGCCAGTAAACCTTGCCAAAAAAACCTAGTCAGCAACAATCTGCCCTGAGAAGGGATTCCGTGATGCTAGCTGCATGTTGAAGTGATCCGTGATTCTCCGGCGTAATTTGGAAGGTGGTGAACGAATCTTCATAAGGGGTGTTGTTGGCCAACATGGGCCCCGCGAAAGATAAACATGGAGTTGGCGAAAGTTTCGCGAAAGTAACATTTCTATTCGCGAAGAATGGCCGTTCCCGGATAAAGGAATTTTGATCAGAACCCATATATACATATGTAACTGATATTGACAATGCATAATGATGCATATCAACATCTTCACATACAAAGAGAGAGCAATGGACAAGTAATTTTCTTATTTTTTTGAAAGTTGACTTCTGTTGGAAGTGGCTGGAAGTCCTTTTAGGTGGGTTTCTTCATATGAGATCATTATATTTCAAACGTCGTTGATACCATTGATATCCCATTAATATCCCACTGAATCCCAGTAAAATCTCATTCGAATTCCATTAAACCCAGCTAAATCCCAGTAATATTCCATGAACCCCCATGAAATCCTTTTAAATCCCACTCAATCCACTCACCATCATTTAAAGATGAAATCCTCTGAATTTCCGATGACAACCCTCAAATTCCATTGATATCACATGACCCATGAATATCCGATGAATTTTGACCAGGTGGAAGGCCTGGAGCTGCAAAGACGCCCTTTGGACGCTGCTGCTGTGGCTGCTGCTGGTCGTGGCCCGCGATGCCTTGAGCGCTTGGGCCGTGGCCAGCGATGGTGAAGCGTCCTTCGAGGATTGGGGGACCTGGCGAACTCAAAGGGTGCAGGTGCCGTAGCCTGGCGCAATCACCATGGGGAGTTGCGGCTTTTCACATTTTTCACGGCTTTTCACACGGTTTCAAGGTTTTTTTGGATATGTTTTTTCACATGAAATATATAATTGCGAATTTTCTATGGATTTTTGGAGATTTATGAATGGCTCTTCATTGAAGATCATGTTTTTTTGAGATTTTTGTTGGTCATCCTGGATCGCAGATCCAAGGCATGTCGTCACTGTTCAAGTGATGGGCGTACTGGTCGTGGCCAGCTTTTGGCAGGTCAGAACTTCCCACGCAATGCTTTTGATTTTGAACTGGTGGAGTGCCAATCTCTTGACCGGCCAGGTGGGAATGAAGAAAAATGATACAAGTGATACATATGTATATATATATATACATACATACACATATGTATGTAATGTAATGCAATGTAATGTAGTTTGAACCGGAACTTGGCACCTCCAGGTGAGTTGCATGGAAGCCAAGAGGGAGTGGAGGGGTGTCAGTGGTCTGTTTCGAAAGACCTCACGGACCTTTGAGCACTGCTTTGCTGCGCTGGCTTCCCTCATTGTGATGTTGGCCCTCTGCGCCTTATACGATTTGCGGCAAGGCCTGCGAGTTCGGAATCGGACGGATCCCCATAAGAGATTATGATAATCTGATAATCACCAACATATTGAATAGTCTGAGTGTAACCTCCGAACAATCATCAATCAGCATGGGGCCTTGAACACTGCTCAGCTATAAAAACATATCATCATTGCATCACCATTATATCACCTTTTTGCTCCATGTTGTTCCTTAGACAGTCAAGCTTGTCATTGAGACGGACATGCCTGAAATCTTGAACCATTCAGCAGCTGCGTCCTCAAGCAGCTCGGAGCATGGCCTGATCCTACAAGGTGCAGTTCCACTTCATGGGATTGCGATAAAGTGCCATAATTATCATAACTATGGGCACTATATTTCAACCTATGGACCAACCAGTATGATATAACGGCATCATTAGAATTGTGACATGGAATTAAGTTGAAAGACTCTAGTGGTAGTAGGAGTTTTCTCATATGATGCGTGTTACTCAGTACACCGTGCTGTTCCACAAGTATTTTCCATTTGTTTTCATGGATCGTCCCATGGTCTCGCCATGCAAGTTCTTCATTTCCCTGGCCATCACTATCCTTTGTCTCTACAGTCACAGTGTCCCCAAGTTGTTGGTACAAAGCTGGTCTAAAGCAGATTCGTTGCTTGCCACTGCCACGGCTGCCGCGACGAGTGTTGCTACAATTCAGGGAGTTGCCACAACAGATGCACCACGGCTGCCTGCAACGAATGCCCTGAAGGTAAAACAAGTCAAAGACTACGCAGTTTGCGTATCTGGCGCAGTGCGCGCCATGATGATGCAAGAGGTGATGGATTTGTGGTTCAAGAACGTGGTCAATGTTCTGGTGATGCCTCAGGCCTTTGTGCTGCCTGTTGTTCTGTTGTTGTCTTTTGTTGTTTTGCTGTGCTTCCTTCTGTGATGCTGTCGTCCAGTGTCCTTCTTGATGTTGGACTTCCAACCGGTGCTCCTGCTGGAGTCATAGATGGTGCAAATGATGTTGGTGCTGTTGTTGGATGCGCTGGTGTCCCCTCTGTGATGGTAACCTTCTGTTTCTTTGATGATGTTGCTTCTTCTTTCATGGGTTGTTGATTCACGATTGCTGGTGTCTCTTCTTCCTGTGTTGTGATGCCTTTGTCTTCTGTCTGCTTTGGTGCTGATGTCGTGCTTGGCAGAACGAAGTGTGGATTGTAGTGTGATGGACTTGGTGCTCATGGCGCACCATTGGTGACGTCCATCATGTGTCGATTGTACTTCCATGGTTTGACTTGTCTTCTGATGGTTCTTGTAGGATTCCCCTGATGATGTATCTTTTCCAAGACAGATGCCTGGGTAGAATCTGTTCTCGAGCTTGGGATCTTGTTTGATGACTGGTGATGGCATGTAGAGAATGTTTTCTCCAAATTCGCATATGCGCATATGGGAGTCTTGTTGTCTGACTTCCATCTTCTGAAGTAGCCGGATACTCCATCACTGTGGATGAGGTAGTTGTTGATGAGACAAGAGCTGTTTTTGATGAGCCATGGCATGACTGGGTGTTGCATGCCAAAAATAGAACCCATAGTTGGTTCTGATGTGCTCTCTGATGACACGTGCTTGTCCAAACAGCGTTCGATGGAGTCTCTCGATGCTGCCTTGGCTTTGTGAGCTGTAGGCTGGTGAGTGCCTGGTTGAGATGCCTGGTGCTTTTGATGCTACTGTTTGCACCAGTGCTTTGAGGTATGGTTCGTTGTCCTGTTTCCATGATGAAAGCGACGATGTTGTTGACGCAGTAGTCCATCATGGTTGCTTTGTTGGGAACCAATGTTGCTGAACAAAGACCTGTTTCGATGTCAATAGCTGTCAGTACTGGTGTTGGGTACTGATTCTCAACACTTTGAGGAATGCAAAGTGGATTTGAATGATGGGTCTGCTGCTGCTTCGATGTGGATGGGCGTCTGATCTGCCTCGTCTCTGTATGCAGATGGGACACCATGATCTGTAAGGCATGTGAGTCAAGTTATGTTCCATGATTTCTGGTTCTGTTGGTTGCTTCGGCATTGATGTTGCTCTTGCCTTGATGGCCTGTTGATTGTCCTCTTCATCTTCCTCAAGTAGTTCCTCGCATGATGGTTTCTCTTCAAAGTTGGTTGATCCTGTCCACTGTTGTGAGTGGTTGTGGTTCTGTTGTCCATTCGTCGTCGATGCGTCGTGGTCGACTGCCATCCGTCTGGTCCATCTGATGTCAACTCTGGAGAGTAGTAGGATGTCCTTGGTACCACATGGACTCTCTTCCAAAGATGTCCTTCTCTTGTCCAATAGTCTGATGTCTTGTCTGTTGGATCTGGTGGTGGTATGTGTTGGCCAGATCCTGGAACGTCGGTTGATGGCTTCTGTGGTTGTTTGCCACAATGTCTTGTTGCTGGTTTCGATTCAGTCTTGGCTCAGATCCCTACCAGTACAGGGGGAGACGGTGCCAGCCAAATCCGAGCGTCTGTGTCTACTTCGTTTGCAATGGGCACTGAATGGGATAAAAACGTGGTTTTGCATGATCTGTTTTGTCCAACGTGGTCACAGTTGGAAAAAGGGGCTTCAGTATCGGTTGTGGTGGATGGACTACTTTTTTCAGATGAGATGGCTGTTGGGGTGACTGTACCTGACATGCAGAAGGTTCGGATCTATGGGGAAGTTTCAGGTCAGATTCGTGGTTGTCGGCGCTTGTCTGTCCTGAATGCACTTGTGGATTTCTGTCCCCCCTATGTGGACTTGCTTCTGACTGACACCAGTTCGGTTGTTGCTCATGGCCTCCACCCGGTGACTGATGCTTTCCGTCTGGTTGAAGCTTGTTCTGGGGTTGCATGTTCCAGTGTGGGCTTGTGTGCTGCTGGATTTCGTCATGTTGCTAGCATTGAATGGAGTCAGCCCTTGTCCCGTCTTCACCAGCTTTGCCATCCTGGAGTTCCGGTCCTTCACATGGATGTCGCCAGTCCCAATTGTGCCCAAGCACTCCTTGCCCAGGTTGATCCACCGTTCACACTGATGGCAGGAATTAGTTGTCAGCCTTATTCCACAGCAGGTAGCCAAGGTGGTTCTGAAGACTCCCGGTCATCAACCCTCCCAGCGACCCTGAAACTAGGCCATCTCTGTCAAAGTCCGTTGATGATCATAGAGTGTGTTTGCCCAGCCCAGAACAACAAGTTTGTGCAATCACACCTAAGGGCATTGGAAAACCAGTTGGGCTACAGGGTTTCTGACTTGACCCTTCGTTCGGAAGACAATTGGGCTGCCAAACGCATGAGATGGTGGGAAAATGCTGGTTTCGATTCTTCTTTCTTCTATGTTACTGTCTTTGCCTTCTGATGCTCTTGCATAATCTGTCTTGGTGTTGTTGCTTTGGACATGTTGCCTCTCGATGCCGATGCTCTTTGGTTGGAACCATGTTTCTCCAATCCATGCTGATCCTTCGATGATCTTATTCAGATCCTTCTTCTTCTGTTGATAGTCATCCTCTATGATGATCTTTTCCTTTCCTGGTTGTCTGATGATGGTCTTTCTGTAATCCTCAAGCTGATCTGTATTGATGGGGCACCCAGTGTTGAAGGGTGTGAAGAGTGCTCTCCCCAGGCGCTTGTGAATGCTCACGATGTATCCTTGGTTGTTCTTCGTCCATATGTCCTTGTTGCCACTGTGATGTCTTGGACCTGATGTGTCCATTTGCGTTGGTGCTATCATGGCTCGTTGCTTGCCTCCTTCTTTCCCGATGACCAATTGTTATCCATGTGGAAGTGGTGACAGCTTCAAGTTGATGTAGAGTAGTCCATCCTTTAGTGTGACGGGACTCTCAAATGACTTTGGATTTGTCATGGTCGATTGCTCGCTCATGTTGATCTCAAAGCCTTGATGTATCAGTCTGGTGACTGATAGGATGGGTTGTTTCACATTACAAACGTAGAATGGAATCATGATGTGTTGTCCTCGTTGGTTGATGAAGTGAATCCATCTGTAGCCATAAACCCAGATGTCTGTTCCTGTGACATTCCTCAGGATGGGTTTGTCTGGTTGCTTCATCTGATGGAGTGGAAATGATGTTCCAAACCATGGTGGACAGACGTGGGTTGCTGCACCACTGTCTATCATGATGCTTTCTTCTGTTGCTGGTGGTTGTCCGATCTGTTGCTATGTAGATGTCCTCCATTGCACTGATGGACTGTGCCATGCCTGTTGGTGTTGTCGATGCTGGTGGTGGTGACTGCGAGGATGCTGCTGGTTGTTGATACCCTTGCTCATATACTTGTTGTGTCCATCTTGGTTGTACCATCCTTGATCATATGCTTGTTGAAACTGGTCTTGATACCAGTCAAATGATGGGTCATCCTCCCATTGTTGATGCTCATCGTTGCCAACGTTGTACACTGCAACTCGTCAATTCTTTGCAATGTGGCCTTGTTGCCCACATTTGTAGCATGTGTCCTTTCCTTTTGATTTTCCTTGTCCTTTCATGTTGTTTGGCGGATACTTTCCTTTTCCTTTTGATGCTCCTTTGAATGGATTTCCTTTCCCTTTGTTGTTGTAGGAGCTGTTTGTATCCTTTGCCTTGATGCTTGCCTTTTCCTTTCTGATGGTCCCTCTTTTCTTTGCCTTCTCCTTTATGTCACTGCTGTTGTAAGCTGCGCCGATGTCCATTGGTGCTGGACCTTGTGATGTTGTGTGCTGATTTGCAGTGTTGGGGTCGTAGCTCTGTAGTTGTTGCATCCTTGAGAATGATGCCGTTGTCCTGTAGTACTCGATGAAGATTGCAAAACTTTTCGCAAAAAGTCAAAAAGTCAAAAAGTTTTTGACTTTTCGGCTTTTCGACTTTTTAATTTTTTCGAATTTTTGTTTTTTTTCGACTTTTCAAGCAGAAATCTCCTGGAATAGGAACTTTTCGACTTTTCGACTTTTCGAGCAGAAATCTCCCGGAAAGGGAACTTTTCGACTTTTCGACTTTTCGCAAAAAAGTCAAACAATCAAAAAGTTTTCGACTTTTCGACTTTTCGCAAAAGGTCAAAAAATCAAAAAGGTTTTGACTTTTCGACTTTTCGGGTGAAACTTTTCGCAAAAAGCTAAAAAGTCAAAAAGGTTTCGACTTTTCGGGTGAAACTTTTCGCAAAAAGCCAAAAAGTCAAACAGGCTTTAACTTTTTGACTCTTCGACTTTTTGATTTTTTTTCGATTTTTTTGACTTTTCGAACATAAATCTCCTGGCCTGGGAACTTTTCGACTTTTTGACTTTTCGATTTTTTCTTTTTGTTCGATTTTTCGACTTTTCGGCTTTTCTGTTTTTTCGATTTTTCGTTTTTTTTGTTTTACTTTTTGTATTTTTCGATTTTTTGCCGTTTCGCCCCAAACTTGAGAGGGAAGGGTGAAAGATCGAAAGGTAGGCGTGGGTTGGAACAGGAGAAGAGAGCAAGGGAACGAGGCATATCCGCTGCGGACAGACGTGGGTGGAGTTGGGGCGGATATCAAAAAAAGTCTTCTGGGCTTGGACTCGAGGGCGGGTACCAAAAAGGTAGGTTTCAGGGAGGGGGGACACGACACACACACAGACACACAGACATATATATATATATAAATACATACATATAGTTAGATATATAAATATCAGGTTATGGGGTTTGCGAGGCAACGTGTAACTGGGGGCAGCACATTGTTGCAACGCGGATGGGGTTGATTCTGGTGTGTACATGTGTAGAACAGTGTGGGATTCACAAACGGGGTGTTTTGACCCCAGCATGTACCCAAAGCAACTGACTTAGGGCTATCCTGGTGCTGGAATCTTGGTGCAAAAAGTGGGCCCGCGGGGTGACTTCTTGCAAACGCGGCTTTAGAGGCGGACCTTGGGGGGATCGAAGGGGGGGGTTCAATATAGTTGTGATAATTATGTTCTAGTTATTATAGTAATTCTAGTCATTATAGGTGTTCTAGTTATTATACATGATAACTATATATATACGAATATACATATATATGAAACATATTGAAATGTCATTAGCGAAGTCTTTTGGTTTAAGAGAATATCTTGGAGGAACCCTTGCGGAAAATCCACCAAATGATCTAGATATGCTGAGCCAGGGGCAGCGATTATGCTTCGGCAACCACTAGCCAAAGCGCAATATCCCACAATTGCTGGGTAGAGTATGCATATATATATATATATATATATACGAATCTATATGTATATTGAGATTATTTAGTATATATGGATATATATCATGGAATTATTATGTGTATATATATAATTATATAGATACATATCTTTAACTATATTGTCGAAGGAAGTTGAGAAGCTAAACTTCCGACAATATGGACAGATGAAAAGCAGAGCAGGGCAGAGGCAGAGAGAAGAGAAAGTTCAGAAGAGAAAGAGTCAGAAGAAAGAAGATGCAGATGCGCGAAAAGGTAGGAAAGTCGAGATTCACTGTGTTTTTCCAATGATTTGTGGTTCCGGAGGGTCGAAAAGTAGGCTCGCTAAAGCGGCGGGTGCGGAGACATATGGGGAGATGAGACATGAAAAATTGCACGCCGTTGTGGCGCGAAGCACATTTCCAAGTCAAAATGCACAAAACACCAGAGGATCGGACCACTTTTGGCGCTTCAGATGTCGAAAAAGTGCACGCCGTTGTGGCGCGAAGCACATCCCCAAGTCAAAATGTACAAAACACACCAGGGTCTGACCACTTTTGGAAGTTGCGATGTCGAAAAAGTGCACACCGTTGTGGCGCGAAGCACATGTCCAAGTCAAAATGTAGAAAACACACCAAGTGCGGACCACTTTTGGCACTTAAGATGTCGAAAAAATGCACGCCGTTGTGGCGCGAAGCACATTTCCAAGTCAAAATGTTAAAAACACTAGGGGTTCGGACCACTTTTGGAGGCTCAGAGGTCGAGTTTCGAAAAAGTGCACGCCGTTGTGGCACGAAGCACATTTCGAAGTCAAAATGTGCAAAACACCAGGGGTTCGAACCACTTTTGGAGGCTCAGAGGTCGAGTTTCGAAAAAGTGCACGCCGCTGTGGCGCAAAGCACATTTCGAAGTCAAAATGTACAAACCACACCATGTTCGGACCACTTTTGGAGGCTGAGATGTCGAGTTTCGAAAAAGTGCACGCCGTTGTGGCGCGAAGCAGATTTGGAAGTTAACATGTTAAAAACACTAGGGTTTCGGACCACTTTTGGCGGTTCAGATGTTGCTTCGCTTAACTCGACTACACTACATGACACTACACTTTGCTGCACTACACTACATTACACTACATTACATTACACTACACTTCACAACACTACAGGTTACAACTACAACTACAGTCCACTACAGTCCACTACAGTCCACTACACTAAATTACACTGCACTACACTCTCTACACTACACTTCACTACATTACACTACACTACACTCCACTACACTACAAATACAACTACACCTACCCAACTACACTCCACTACACTCCGCTACACAACATTAAACTACACTACACTACCTTACACTACACTACACTCCACAACACTACAACTAAAACTACACAACTACACTCCACTACACTACACTACCTTACACTACACTACATTACACTACACTAGACTCCCCTACACTACACTACATTACACTACACTACACTACACTACACTAGACTCCCTACACTACACTACCATTACCTACACTCACTACCTGCCGCTACACTTCACGACACTACTCTACACTACACGCACTACCACCTACAAATTAAAACTCCCTCCACTACATTCACTACATTACACTACACTACATTACAACGAATGACCTGCACAAAAGATTAGACAGGTAGACACGTAGACAGATAGCTAGATAAGAAAGAAAGGAAAGAAAGAAGAAAGAAGAAAGAAAGAAAAGAGAGATAGATAGGATAGATAGGATAGATAGGATAGATAGGATAGATAGGATAGATAGGATAGATAGGATAGATAGGATAGATAGGATAGATAGGATAGATAGGATAGATAGGATAGATAGGATAGATAGGATAGATAGGATAGATAGGATAGATAGGATAGATAGGATAGATAGGATGATAGGATAGATAGGATAGATAGGAGATAGGATAGATAGATAGCTAGATAGATAGATAGATAGATAGATAGATAGGATAGATAGGATAGATAGGATAGATAGGATAGATAGGATAGATAGGAAAGATAGGATAGATAGGAAAGATAGGATAGATAGGATAGATAGGATAGATAGGATAGATAGGATAGATAGGATAGATAGGATAGATAGGATAGATAGGATAGATAGGATAGATAGGATAGATAGGATAGATAGGATAGATAGGATAGATAGGATAGATAGATAGTTAGATAGATAGGATAGATAGGATAGATAGGATAGAGGGATAGAGGGATAGAGGGATAGAGGGATAGAGGGATAGATCGATAGATCGATAGATCGATAGATCGATAGATCGATAGATCGATAGATCGATAGATAGATAGATAGAGGGAGAAATAGATGGATAGATGGATAGATGGATAGATGGATAGATGGATAGATGGATAGATGGATAGATGGATAGATAGATAGATAGATAGATATGATAGATAGATAGATAGATAGATAGATAGATAGACAGGTAGACAAGAGTGAGAGAGATCAATCGCCTTTCAGTCCAGCAGTGGCTTCGCTCTGCCATCTCTGATTCACAACAACCAATCTCTCCTATAGGTTTCCTATTTTTGAAACTTCCGCCACCGCCTTGTGCGGTACTACTGGTATATCATGTACGATTTTTGAGACTACTGCAACGCAGTCCGTCGCAACGTTCTTGCTACGACATTGTTCATCGCGGTTGTTAGGGTGAACGAAACAAAGTTCTTGAGCAATCTGACATTGTCGAGTTTCAGTGCGGGTCTTGACTTCGGTTGGGGTGGGGATGTATGTAAACGTGGTGGATGAAAGTGCATGTGCGGCTGTTGGCGTTTCCTTGTAGTCCGCCTATGTTGCAAACCCGGCTTTAGAGGCGGACCTGAGACATAACCGGCCCAAACTCTTGCACTTGCACCGCTCGCCCCCTAATACTTGCTACGCAAGGGGGAACTCAGGTAGCTCACCGCTACCTTTCGAGATCAGGATCCCCAAACTATAACATTGAGGGGGAGACAACCAACAACAATAGATATATGATATAATAGATATACATTCATTGTATGATATGACCATTCCATACCATTCCTTCTGATTTGGATGTGAATCGAATCTGACGGCAACACTGCAGCAATCGCTGCGGTCCTCGGTCGAGGTCTGAAGGCACAAAATTCCCCTACCTCAGACAACCTGGCCAGGTCACCTAGTCCTTTGCTGAGATCAAGCGCGAGAAATGATGCTGAAAGTTTCATGCCAACAACCTGGACAAGACCAAAGCAAACGTTGACCCTACAGTTGCACCAGAGCCCTCAAGGGTGCGTTTTCACAAGCTCAGCATGAATGGTATCAAAGCCACAGGCCTGCAGCTTGCACAGGCTTCCATCAGACACAGAACACTTGTGATTCTGCGACTTCTATAATGTCAGCGTGCGCCAGCCACATCACAAAAATGGCAGACCACTGCGAGCAAGGACAAATCATTGCGAATCATGACGGCCTGTTAGATCTGTTGGACTTTGATATGATCAAATGAGTTTCACTGGAAAGATTCGTCCGTGACAGGCCATGGAAGCAAAAAAACATGCAAGGACTATACACATTTCCCCCCCAAAAAAAAGGTGAGAAGGGAGGGAAAAAAACGATTATGCTTCCAAGTCTTGCCGACTTGCTGAGCGTTCAGGCACCAAGTCTTGTCGACTCACAGAGCGTGGAGGCAAACTCGGCCAAGACATTCTCTTCAGGAAGCATCCCAAAATCAGAACCAATGGCAACACCACAGCCACTCCAACCAAAATGAGGCTTGTCCTGTCTGTCCTTGGGAAGCTGGAGCTTTTTGCCTCATCATGTTGAAGCGGTTGAACCTCATCCAGAAACAGCGTTTGGATGGGGCATCCAAGGCCCCATCGCACCATGCGCTTGCAGACGGATCCGCATTGGGCTGTCGTTGCTTGGATTCCCTGAGGTCTGACCCAGATCTCACAGCGACACTTGCTGTAGCTGATGCCAACGCACGCGGCTTCGGCTTCGCAGTAAGCTTCACAGCTTTCCTGAAAGTATCTGAAAGTAATCAGAAGGTACGTTTTCATTGGAAGTGGCTGAGTGGTTGGACCCGAGACTTTGAAACTATGGCTTCAACAGGGAGAGGAATGCCTCACAGCATCCAATCATGGAGCAACCGGGGTGTCACCTTTTATCAACCCTACATCACAACTTCCGCGTCGACAAAAAATATAACTTACATAATTTATATTTATATAGTTATTCATTCTATGTAACTCTACGTTCTTCTTCAGCTTTAGATGGCAAAATAACAATCAAGACCACTTTGGCCATCTGACATCCAAGATCATCCAAGTCTCTAAAGTCTGTGCCTCCTTGACTTGGAAATATTCTTCAGAGTTATCATCTGCAGTGCTGCCACGACAGGCTCGCTCCTCTCCACCATCCACACCTTCGAATAGCATAAGGCACGATGAGGTGGGTCGCCTCGCCATCGACAGGGCTTCATGGGTCTGGGACAAAAGTTGGGATATCAAAATTGTCAAAGGAACCAATCTGGACATTCGAAGTACCAAAGGTTACCAAACCATCCACCTTTCGTAGTTTTCACATGTTGTCACAGTGATTACTCCAAGATCAACGATGGAAAACAATGAACGCCACGATGTCACCAGGTCACAAGAAATGGAGGCAGGTGAACCCCTGCAGCACCACAGCAGATTCAATTCCTCCAAGACGCGTCCAAATTTCGCATCGCCCCCCGCTGTATTCCACTCCCACGCAACTGGGGGTCATCTCACACTCTTTCTTGCAACCTGGCGGCACCCGCACCTACCTGACCTACCTTTTAAATGGTCACATTGGTCACATGTTAAATGTAATCCTTTGCATTTAACCCGATTTGCAGATCCACTGTTTTGAAAGACATCAACCCATCTATCCTCGCCTTTCAATGTGTTCTGTTGAAGTACGGTGTAGTGAGAAGGTGAGTTGTCGGACCGCGAACTTCCCCGGCAGGCTCGACTTGTGCCACCATCAACGGGATGGAAAAGTCCAGCGAAAGCAGGGAAGACTTGCAACTCCAGGATGCTGCAGCCCCATGGTGTTGCCCGCGTCTGACAAAGTATGCGAACGTACCTGGAATCCGGGCAAAGAATGGCAAAGATATCAATTCATTCAAATGTTTCTGGTGTTTCCACTTCAACTCAGTGTAGAGATGCGGAACTGTGAAAATTGCTAGTTCCAAGTCCCATCACAGGGCCATCGCAGGGCCATTTGGGTCCCAGGCACCGGGCGAAATGTTCGGGAAACAGTGTCTGCACCTCTCCTGGTTCGTTGATGGTCACGGTAGCAGCTGTGTGCCAACTGGGTTCGTCCAAGGCAGATTGCACCAGGTAATCACGTGCATAGGCAGTTTCCCACTGAACCTGGTTGAACCAACCCAGCCAACAAATGATAACAAATGGATGCTGGTTAGCCATGGTTATACCATGGTTCACCTGGCTACTTGGGTGAAAACTTATCAAAAGTATATCCAGGTCGGTTGTTTCATTTCAGGTTTAAGTTGGATTGATAGATTTGAAATAACGAATCACGGGGCTGGAAAGTGAACAAAAATCTTTGATGTGGGACCCAGCGACAGTTACAGCAAAGAGTTCATAGACGACTCCCAGATCAACTGAAATCCACTGATTGTCTTGAAAGCTTGAGCTCCAGCGTGTGTCCACTGATCCATCCACGGCTTTTTCCGAATCGTAGATACTCTGCTCAGAAGACGACGCAGCAGTGGGGCGACCAAGTGCAATGTTGGAGATGGAAAGTGTCTCCGAATTTGGCTGACTGTTGAAGAGCAAAGCTCCGCATTCGCTTTGTGGCGCCGTAGGAACTGGTCCAAGTCTGCCGATGATGCGTTGTGCCTCTGACCGAACTGAACAAGAACCCGAAGCTGTCTTCAAGGTGACTTCCTCTGCACCAAAGATTGATTCCAAAGCGGCATCGGAAAAAGCCACGTCAATGACAGGACTATCCCGCCACACCCCCTCGAGTTCGTAGACGTTTCCGGGACGACACAGGGCACCATATCCATTGTAACCTGCTGCATATGACAGGATACCTGCATTTCCTCCAAAGCTCGGGAACTCATTGTTTGCAGCTACTGCAAATCCAGGACCTGACAACTTAACTCCACCTTCGATTTCTGCAGCTGTCCATACATTCAAGCGTCGAACTGCGAAGTTGCAGCCAAGACCCGAATCCCACTCAGGTCCAAGCTGAACACATCCCTCATTTTTGAAACCATCCAAATGTTGGCTGAGAACAGACTTGAAACCTCCAAGGGAACCATCCCGGGCCAAAAAGACTGGCCAGACTTTGCCCTCAGGTTTGCTGTTCACACCGTGCTGGATGAGCTTTCCAGTCGCTGAGACACCTGAGAGTTTTGGCAAAAAGCAGGCATAAATCCAAGTATACCGTATACCAAGAAAATCTTCGAGGTCTGCAAACAACTGGCATCTCAATCCATTGGGTCAACTACAAACATCTGCAAAGTGTGGTCACCCTGTGATTTTCTCCCCACCTGAAAAGTCGACATTTTCGAGCAGGTACTGGACATTGCAAGGACCACCTGCACCTCCATCCATGCAATGTTGACCCGCCGCCAAGGCAGCACCTCCTCCTGGGCTCCCAACGAACGTCACGTTCTTCAAGCCGAAGGTGAAGCCGCCCGCGGGGCCAAAAAACTGTCCAGCGGGAATTGAAAACAAGTCACCCACTATGGGGGCATTGATGCAAATCGAATCTGTGATGTGATACAAACTTCCATCTGCAAAATTCTTCGAAGATTTCCAGTACATGCAGTGTTGATTGTTGATGCCGACATATCGCGAGTAGCGAACATCTGTCAAGGTGTACTGGCCCACAAACTCATTATGCCAGTCCAACTCGTCTTCAACGACATTGGCAGGCACTAGCCCAGTATCTTTCCCATCAGCATCGACCTCGTTGAAGCAGTTGGAAGTTGGATTTTCAATATCTGCCACGAAGCCATTCTCATCCCTTGGAAGCATACGAGGACGTTGGAAGTCGAGATATATACCTCACGTGCGGGGGCGATTTTTGATGCGCCTATTGGGGATATCGCACGGAAAACAACACCCTTTGTTTTCCTGCTGCATCCCAAAATGTGAAAAAAAAATAAAACGTGAACATGATTCATGATGAAAAGTCATAATTAATGATTCATAAACCACATAGAACCACCAAGATATGTCTTCCATATGTCTTCCATATGTTTCCCACATCTCTGTCGAAGCTGCCGAAACGTCTGTTGTCGTGGCACACGTTGCCCTTGATCTGACCGAAGGGCAGGTGCACCGGACAGACTTTTCCGGCTGCATGGCCTCGACCAACAGGGTCAGCCACTCCTTTGAACCAGAAACAATTCTCCATGTTCACCACGCGGTTCCTGGAACATGGAAAATCATGGCAAATCATGGCAAATCATGGCAAAATCATGGAAAATCATGGAAAATCATGGAAAATCATGTCTGTCTTTGGGGAAATACATGGAAATACCAATAATGAATCATTCGATGTCATATTCATCAGAAGACGTCACATTTTTGGATCACCTCAAAGGGGCCACTGTCGAACACAGAGGCTGACATGTTGATGTATATGATGTATAGCCGCATAGCCCTCTGACGTGGATCAAACAAAACGGAAACCGATGGCACGCATTCACCCCCGCATTTTCACCAAAATATATGCCACAACCAAACTTAGCCGATGAATCTGGAGTTCGTTCATTTCTGTGTGTTTTACTGAGCTATGTCAGGATCTTTGGATTCAGGAAATCCATGGAAATCTGGGATTCCAAGTCAGTCCTCAAGAAGTTGTTGGTCATGCCCACCACGTAAACCCCAGCTAGGCGGCCACCAGAGTTGAAGAGATCATAGGTACAACCCTGGCGTGCTTCGGGGCAGATGCCTTCAGGGCCTTTGTTGCAGGGGAGGGGGTTCAGAGCAGGCACCGGGTGCATGCAAATGATCACATTCTCCTCGATACCTGGGATGAAACACGGGTAGAGAGGCTAGAAACATTGAAGGAGAACAGAACTCATGTGTTGATGATATCTGGCCACTTTTTGGAGCAAATAGATGTGCGAAATGCATCCAAATGCTAGCGAGATGCTGTTGTTCATCTCGTTTCCATCCTCCACATACACACCCGCAGACATTGTGTTCCACAAGACGTTCTTGGACACCTGGGCTCCATGAGTGCCGTGTACGGTAATCCCAACCTGCGTAGAATTCACGACGGCGTTGCCCAGCAAAACACAGCGAGGGCACTGATGCATCAAGTGGAGATGAAGACAATATCTGCCTGGGGTTTGACGGCCCCCAGCTGAGAAACAATTGTCAAGGGGAACCCTCATCCATCCTATGAGATTGAAAACATGTTTGACACATGGTTGAAACCACCATCAAATCTGTGTCAAGACACCTATATGTGGAGGTTGTCCACAGTTTTCAACAAGTATATAGCGGGCATCGATGAAACCTGTTCCGGTGACCAGTGTGTGTAGCCCCTTCCAATCTGACGTGTCCCAATTCGCTGGCCCTGTGATAGCAATGGATCGCTGCAAATTCACAACTTCCGCTGCGAGTTCGAAGCGTTGATCAAAGACTTTGGACCGGCCATTGTAGCGGATTTGGCGCCATCCACCCAAGTAGTCGGCAGAAGCCGGGGGATCAATCTCTATCCGTTTGCCAGGACCCATTGATACGATTTTGTAAGGTCGGGACTGACCACGGGAAGTGGTGGCGATGCCAATGGTATCACCCACCTGCCACGACATCTCTACAGGATCGTCTCGCAGCATCAAAGTCGATGATCCAGCTCCAAGATCTTGTGCAAGGAGCGTCCAAGTGATCAATTTCCTTCCATGCATCAAAATTTTTGCATGGTCTTTGGCTGCAAGAAATCTTTGACCAAATGAGGTATGTTCTGCTGCTGACTCTGCACTGATGTAGATGGTAGCTTGCTTGGTCATAGGCTTAAGAGTTGTTCCAATTTCGAGGCTGCCGTTGCCTTCCACGAGGACATGGCCAGCTGTGAGTTGCAAGCCAGCTGTCTCTGTGTCCCACTGCAATTTACCTCGAATCGTCAATGATGACAAATTTGGCGGTGACCAATCCAGGAGCCAATGTTCATTGTCAGGGACGAAACAAGCATCACCACTTTTGCAAACAGTTTTCATGCTGCTCCAACGTTTTATGCCAGAAACGGATGGGATACATGCAAGAAACAACACAAGAAGAGCCATCTTGACCCCAGCACCGACGCTGTATCGGGCTCGGCCACAGAAAAAACAAGCAACTAAACGAAGCATTTCGGACTGGTGCAAACCTGCCGACCTGATTGTTCAAGTCATTGTTAGATATATACGAATAGTCAAATCAAGCACGAAAGATTCTGGTTTTTGTGAGTTGGACAGGTTCTGAAGCTGAGAGCCAAGAGGAATGCCAAAGGCCCAGGACACCTTCCGGCAAGAAATTTCTGAAAGGCACATGAGAACACGCGCAATAGGCAACTTAGCATTCGCACAGTTGCTATGTTCTACCACAACCTGCTTCAACAGCACAGCTTCGCGCCACACCAACAACGAATGAATAATTGTGTGTCCGAAGGTGGCTCCGGGGCAACCAAAAACAATTTTCTGCGGGCAACTCAAAAAACGAATGAACTTTAATGTGCTAGCGATTGCAAAATTTGGATGTGATTTTCCCGAATCGTTTGCAAAACAAAAAACTGTGTGACGTATGCAAAATTAAGCGCCTCGCATATTTTTTTTGGCCGTCGGTTTTGGTTCTTAATTCTCCTTCGCAAGAATCCAGTTTCGTTGCAAACATTTTTTCTGCCTATATCGAAATTTGTGCTCCTGACTGTCCAGTGGTCCCACGCATATGTCCATGTTCAACAACTGTTCGTACAGACGAAAACATCCACAACATAGTATTGCAATCACGTGTGAATGTTCCTCCTGGACATGCAGGGCAGCACCCGAAAAAAAATACTGCTGTATAAAAAGTAATACTTTGTTTGCAGAGCCAAAGTTGTAAATTCAATGTTGCACCCCATAATGGTGTGCGACAGCAACATTTGGGAACAAACACGTTTCAATTTTATTCCTGCAAACAGGCTAGCACGAATCCCTTCTCCAACGCAGTAACGCATGGCACCACCAATGGTTTCTGAACCCGACGAAACGCAGCAACAAATGCAGCAACTGAATGCAACTGAGGCGGCACAAGTCGTATCACTGTACAGGACCCAAAGCGATGAATTTGCAAACCAAACACCGGGCAGCAAGCCACGTGCCACAGATATGGCCACCACGAGGCCCAAGAACACCCATCATACACACAGGCGAATGTCTGCCCATGCTCTTTGCTTTGCGGGTTGACAACATCATTAACTTTTAGAAACAGATAAGTACAATTTCCACTCGGGTGGGACGATAGCCAAAAATACACCACAATGGAAAACAATTGTACATACGCCTACGTGTGACAAACACGCCCGGACCATGTTGCAACACCGTAGTCAACCCAGTGGTTCGTTTTCCCGCTTGGGTTTCGGATTGGGCATGGTGATCAGAAAGGAACGATAAGAATGCGATGTTCCACCAAGGGGACACCACGTAAAGGAATCGAAAAAAATCAAGAAATAATCTTGTTTTGGGACACCGGCACGCCTGAAACAATGTTGATCACCGGTTGTACAGCAGCGGTGGTAACGTGGAGCGACCAGGCCGTTTCTTTCATCCAGCAAGAACTGTACGCCAAGCACCGCCGGCTTCCCCACTGGCCAACAACAGCTGTGATTTTGCAAGCAACAACTTTCGCATTTTAAAACATGCGAATCACCGAACTCGAAAGAATTTTTGGATGACATTTCACCTTCGTTTACAAATAAATGTTTTTCCAAAATTTCATCACGCGCGTTGACTGCCCAACCCATGCTGATGATTTGCCAATTTTTTCACTATTTTTTCACAAGGTAAACATTTGCAATCCATACTGCGATCAAAGGGCCGCAGGACCTGTGACTCATTGGCGGCGTGCGGGAAAGAGCATTTATTTACAACCAAAATGCCACCAGCGCACGCAAAACAGTGGATCCTTGAAACCAAAAAAAAACAAAAATGCACAATGAATAGTGTCGAATCGAGGCCACCATGTTTTCATACCCAATACTGTGTAAATGTCGCTGCCCTCAATATTGCATTTACCTTACGCTGAAACTTTACAAAAGCGAACCACGCCATTTGCTTTCAAAACGCACAAACAATGTCTGACCCCATTGTCTCCTGTTCAGCTTCTCATCAGACACTGCGTTGGGCCCAATTTTTGGTGATAAAAATGACAATTCAAAACAAACAAAAACCGAACAACAATTGCTGACCCCCATGTTCCCCGCTCCATTTTTCCGTCGCACCTGTCCATGGGTCTATTTTTCCGGACTTTTGCCACTTCCGCTCCAAGCCGTCCAAAAATGAAGACGCAAACCAATATGCCTGACAAGGGGCGGCATCCAGGCCCACTGTGCAAGAAATTTGTGTGTGGGTGTGTCGGCCCCGGTGGTGCACTCGGTGTCGCATCAAAACGCCCCAAAAAAAAAACGAAAACTGGAGCTGAAACACGAAAGGCGAACATGCGAAAACAGGCGCGAAAATGCAAAAGCCGCAAAGCTACACACTGACTCCAAAAGGATGGCAAAGCCCATTTTGGACATGTTCTGACGTGAACAAAATCAACTTCGCGTGATCATTCCCAACCCAACTGCACGTCAATATCAAATAGGATGTGCTGCAATAGCTGTGTTGCGTTGTGGCCTCATGGAATGGAACACACGGGAACGAAAAGAAAAAAATTGAAGCTGATTGTATGTGATGCTTTGTAAACAACCTTGCACGCAAAGATTGCGTTGAATATGCATCCCAACCATTTATGGCAAACATTGTTGCGTTTGAAATTCTTATTTTGGTAGTTGCCAAATACCAAAAAATGCCATGGTTAAGCTTCATAATGTGTTCACAACAGATGTCTTCCCAGTGTTGTCAAGGGATGAACTTAAATCAGTTCATTTATTGAATAAAATTTTCAATCAAACAACTTGCAAGGTTCTTGATACGTTATAACATCGTCGTCAAGTAATCGGCGTCCCTGATACGTTGTAACATCTTCTGCAAGTACCTTGCTGGACATTTTTGATATGTTGTAGCATCTTATTCAAACTACTTGCGGGACGTTCCTAATACATTGCAACAGATTCTTCAAGCACGCGTTTTTGATACGTAAGAATATTTTTGTCACGTATCCTTTGACGATCCTCCTGATACGTTGTAACATATTCTTCAGGTATCTTGCAAGACGTTCTTGATACGTTTTAACATCTTCGTCAAGTAGTTTGCAAGACGTCCTTGATACGTTGTAGCATCTTCTTTCAAAGTACTTACAAACGTTCCTGATATGTTGAAACATTTTTTTCAAGTACGTGTTTTTGATACGTAAAATATTGTTGGCACGTGTCTTTTGAGGATCCTCTTGCTAAGTTGTAACATATTTTTCAAGTCACTGGCAAGACGCAAGGGGGTGTTGATACGTTGTAACATTTTGGTCAAGTAAATTGCAAAACGTTCTTGAAACGTTGTGACATTTTTTCAAGTAACTTGAACACGTTCCTGTCACATTGTGACAATTTCCTTAAGTGACTTGCAAGACGTTCCTGATACGTTGCAACATCTTCGTCAAGCAGCTTGCAAGGCGTTCTTGATACGTTGTTGCGTTTTCTTCAAGCTACTTGCCAGTCGTTCCTGATACGTTGTAACAGTTTCTTTAGGTATAGGTCTCTTTGATACGTAATAATTTTTTTTTGTCACAAGTTCCTGATACGTTGTAACATTTTCGTCGGGTAACTTGCAAGACGTTCTTGATACGTCGTAACCGTTTCTTCAAGTACGCCTTTTTGATACGTAGTAATATCTTTGTCACGTACTTTTTGAGGATCCTCCTGATACATTGTAACATATTCTTCAAGTTACTTGCAAGACAGAGGACATTCCTGATACGTTGTACCTTTTTCGTCAGGTAACTTGCAAGACGTTCCTGATAGGTTGTAACATCTTCATCACAAACCTTTCAACACGTTCCTGATACATTGTAACAATTTCTCCAAGTAAGTTGCCAGACGTTCCTGACACGTTGTAACATCTTCGTCAAGTAGTTTGCTGGACGTTCTTGATACATTGTTAGCATCTTCTCCAAACTACTTGCTAGACGTTCTTGAAACGTTGCAACGGTTTTTCAAGTACGTCTTTTTGATACGTTGTAATATTATTTCGCGTATCTTTTGGGGATCTTCTTGGTACGTTGTAACATATTTTTCAAGTTATTTGCCAGACGTTCGTGATACGTTGTAGCATTTTTGCCAAATAATTCGCAAGATGTTCCTGATATGTTGTACCATCGTCATCAAATAACTTTAAACACGTTCTTGATACGTTGCAACAAACTGTTCAAGTATCTTGCAGGACCTTCCTGATACGTTGGAACATCTTCGTCAAGTAGTTTGCAAGACGTTCTTGATAAGTTGCAACATTTTCTTCAAGATACTTGCAATACGTTCCTGGTTCGTTGTAACAGTGGTTTAATTTTTTTCAAGTACGTCTTTTTGGTACTGTTTTTTTTTTTTTGTCATGTATCTTTTGCAAAATCCTCATGATACGTTGTAACATATTCTTCAAGTTACTGCCCACACATTCTTGATACGTTGTAACATCTTCGGCAAGTAATTTGCAAGACGTTCTTGATAAGTTGCAACATTTTCTTCAAGATACTTGCAATACGTTCCTGATTCGTTGTAACAGTGGTTTAATTTTTTTTCAAGTACGTCTTTTTGGTACTGTTTTTTTTTGTCATGTATCTTTTGCAAAATCCTCATGATACGTTGTAACATATTCTTCAAGTTACTGCCCACACATTCTTGATACGTTGTAACATCTTCGGCAAGTAATTTGCAAGACGTTTTTGATAAGTTGCAACATTTTCTTCAAGATACTTGCAATACGTTCCTGATTCGTTGTAACAGTGGTTTAATTTTTTTCAAGTACGTCTTTTTGGTACTGGCATTTTTTTGTCATGTATCTTTTGCAAAATCCTCATGATACGTTGTAACATATTCTTCAAGTTACTGCCCACACATTCTTGATACGTTGTAACATCTTCGGCAAGTACTTTGCAAGACGTTTTTGATACGTTGTAACATTTTCTTCAAGATACTTGCAA